GAATTTAGCCAGGCCTTTAGCTCATTAACACAGGTAGATAGTGATGTGGTCTGGTGAATAGAATCTGGTCTGCATGCAGTGTATATCTGAATATCATCAGCATAACAGTGATAATGAAAACCATGACGACGGATAATATGTCCAAGAGGCATGATGTAAGTAATGAATAGTAATGGCCCAAGAACAGAGCCCTGGGGAACACCCTGACTGAGTAAAGTAGTGGGAGATTTATAATTATGCATAGTGATGTAGTATTGTCTATCAGTGAGATAGGAAGAGAACCAGGATAGTGCTGCACCTGAGACACCTATCTCTGGAAGGCGGGAGAGTAATATCTTGTGATAGACAGTATCAAATGCTGAGCTGAGCTCGAGCAGCAGGAGAATGGAGAGATTACCTGAGTCACCCGAGAGTAACAAATCGTTGACAACCTTAACTAAAGCGGTTTCAGTGCTGTGATGAGAGCCGAAAACCAGATTGAAATGCATCGAACTGATGGCTGAGAGCTAGAAAAGACTGCAGCTGATTGGCATAATTTTCTAAATAAATGGTAAATTGGAGATTGGACGATAGTTGGTGAAATCAGCTGGGTCCAGGTTTGGTTTTTTTAAGAACAGGAGTAACAGCAGCAGTTTTCAGTGAAATTGGAAACAGTGGCAGAGATAAAGGACATATTTACTAAGTGTGAGACAGGAGCAGAAATGACAGAAGTACAGTGTTTCAGAAGGAATGTGGGCGCAGGATCTAACTGGCATGTGGAAGAATTAGAGTTCTGTATTGTTTCAGCAATTACGGTTGGAGTTGTCAAGGTGAAAATATTTGAAATGGACAGTCAGGCCAGTTTTTCTAAAAAGGCGTTCAAGCTGTCTGCCTTTTGCCTTCATAGCATGAAGCTCAGCGTTATACCAGGGAGAGGTGTGGGACGAAGGAACAGACCTAGTCCTAATTGGAGCATGCTCATCTAAAACATCAACAATAACAGAATGATATAGGTCAGATATCACAGATGGACAGGTGAATTTGAAAACATCAGAAATAGTAGAGGAAGCAACTGAAGCAGCAGAAGTATTTACATTGATAGCATTGATTTTGCGATAAGAAATGGTAGTATTACCAGCACATTTAGTAGGATGTATTAACGTAAAGTCAAAAGTGATAAGCTTATGATCAGAGATAGGAATAGCATGACTACTGATGGAGATGTTATTCACACCAGATGTACAAACTAAGTCAAGTGTATGACCACGAGTGTGGGTTGGGAAATTAACATTCTGGGTAAGATTAAAGCAGTCCAGGACAGTCTGATTTTTATGCCAAAAATCATTAGGATATTACGTAAAGATCATGTTCCATTAAGATATTTTGTAAGTTTCCTACCGTAAATATATCAAAACTTCATTTTTGATTAGTAATATGCATTGCTAAGACCTTCATTTGGACAACTTTAAAGATGATTTTCTCAATATTTTGATTTTTTTTGCACCCTCAGATTCCAGATTTTCAAATATTGTCCTATCCTAACAAACCATACATCAATGGAAAGCTTATTTCTTTGCTTATGATGCATAAATCTCAATTTTAAAAAATTTACCCCTATGACTGGTTTTGTGCTCCAGGGTCACACATAATCGATAAATGTTCAATAAACACTGTAAAAATATTTCTGCCCATAAACATTTTTAAATTTGTTATTATTTTGAATTTAATTTATTAGTTGAAAAAGTGACTCATAAAATCAAGTAGAAATGACAAAAGCAATTATTGTGAGAGTTAAATGGATTCAAACAAATTATGAAGACACGTTTACAGTGGATAGCAATTTATTATTAATAATAGTCACTCTATACAATTCTTCCACTAAGTAATATTGGAAGGTTTATGGTTGCAGAGTGACGTTAAACTTGACACATTTCTATAGAATGTGCATCTCAGTCGTGTGTTAATTGTCTGTTTTACATTGTAGAGTCAGAGCAGTTATATTTAACTTTCCTCGTTTAACCTTTGACCTCTGTGTGTGTGTGTGTGTTTGTGTCTGTGTGTGTGTGCGTGTGTCTGTCTGTGTGTCTGTGTGTGTCTGTGTGTGTGTGTGTGTGTGTGCAGCCCGACCAAGGTGACGCTGCTGGGATCCGTTCTGTTCTCTCTCCATCAGTGCCGCTTTCTCCCGATTCACACGCATCAGCTGATCTTCATCTACACGCTCTTCATCGTCACCAACAAGGTCTGTGTGTTTGACAAAATACAGCGATAATAAAATAAAAAATTAAATGTGCAAAATACTCCAGAATACCTTAAATATACATAAAATGTAGTAATATTATATTAGTAAATATTATTAAAAATTATTAATATTATGTATTTTTTGTGCATCGTATTTAGAACCACAGTCTTATTTCTAATAATATATTTATTACACATACATGTATATATGTATAATAAATATATGTATGTGTAATAAATATATTAGAATAATTAAAAATTTTTGTGTGTGTGTAATAA